ATTGCAATACGTTTGCTGCACTATTCACTATCGAATTTGGCAGATCCATTTATTAATTATTGGTGAATTAAGTTTGAAGACTACTTTAGGGCTACACTTTCACTTCAGTTGAACTTATCCTTGTGTGTGATGAGTGAGTATTGATTAATGAATTGCATAAGCTACTCTCTATTTTTGACTTAAGTTTAGGCTCAGGCCTAAGTATGTCTTTAGTTTATTCAAAATTAACTATTAACAGGCTAATAATTAATTTAACCTTTAAAGTATAGTTTAAGGGAATTTAATTATACCCCAAAACATCTACTATGGTTTTAGTATATTTGGTATTGAAACCAATAATTTTCAAGATGCAAAGCTCAAATTTCATGTGGGGCTGCAGTATATTAATTAACCTACTAAAAGAATTAAGCAATATAACTTTGTGTTAACAGTGTTTCTCACTAATTTAATATTTGTGAGATCGGTCTAAAAATAGGTCATTTACATTAAAATTTAAGAGTGAGGTAAAAGTCAAATATATTAGTTTAGAAATGTGATATTCTTTGGAATTATAACTAAAATTTGTGAGCTACAGTTACACATTGGTAAGTGTAAAAATAAAATGTTTAAATAAAGCAAAATATCTTTAAAATAATAGACTAATAATGAAAACCCAACTTAGTACCATGGAATACATTTTTACACATTTTAACTTTAGGCCTATTGCAGGCTCCACCAAAAAATCAAAAAGTTGTCAGAAAAATCAATACAATATAATATTACAATACAATGCCCGTTTTCCAAAATGCCGGAAAATTTAAATATAACAATCACCCAATGAAATTATAATTTATAATATTTTGCATATTAATATTTTTTTAAAAAAATTAAAATTAGGCTAACTTTTAACTCCAGTAACAATCTAAGTCCAAGAATAAACAAAAGTGAGAGAATCGTACACACAGAAACTCAAAGTGGTGGAGGTAGCGTAAATTGAAATCTGAATAGCATTTAAAGGGACCCAAGTACGCATAATAGCCGCTATTATTTGCTTATTTTAACAAACGTGAGTTATTTTATCTTTCCACGGCCACCATCTTGGTTACCACGAGCCGTCAAAGTTTACGGGTCGTGGCAACCAAGATGGCGGCCATGTGTTACGTCACGGTGCCATCTCTCTGCATTTGATTTTGGTCAATGGCAGAATTAACTGTTATTGCCTTACTTTACCAAATTTAGCCTCACTTATAATACTTACATAATAACTTATATTATATTAAGTTCACTAAGCCTGTCTTATACTTTAAAATTCTAAGGCCTATTGTTAAATTCCATTCATATTTAGCTTTTATCAAAGAATAACCTACAATTTAAATACAATTTGGACTTCGTGATTAATGCATACGTATACAGTAGGACAGAAATATATTGTTCTTTCTACTGCCACTAATAACTTACCAACTTGTTTGTTTACAAATTATAAACCGGAAACATACATTTTTTCGTCTGAACAAAGTAGCTCCGTACTGAGAGAAATACCGAGAAGCTGTTATCATGGTAGGCTAAATAGCACAAGAAACGGACGTGCAAGAAGTAGCTTTTTCTTACTGTTAAAAATTATATAAATATATATTTACATACATACATTTTAAGTCAGCGAGTTGGATAGATATCTTAAAACCTCTATTGTAACTCGACTGTAGACAAGAAAGGATTCCTCAACTAAATGGCGTCTAGGAAATAGATGTCATCAAGTGTAACATAATACATGATTACATATGCACCGGCTTGATGGATCTAAATTTGGTAGTTGAGTGGGTGTTTCTATTCTATATTATTATATGGGGCTTTCCATAAAGTACGTCACGCGCCAGAAAGGGGGGGGGGTGTAAGAAAGTGTGACAGTTTGTGACAGGGGGGAGGGGGGGGCATGCCGTGTGTGACGTCACACATTTATTTTTTAAAATTTTAGTTCTAATTTATTTCTTTTCTTTTTTTAAAATAGAATTGGTAGTTGAGTGGGTGTTTCTATTCTATATTATTATATGGGGCTTTCCATAAAGTACGTCACGCGCCAGAAAGGGGGGGGGTGTAAGAAAGTGTGACAGTTTGTGACAGGGGGGAGGGGGGGTCATGCCGTGTGTGACGTCACACATTTATTTTTTAAAATTTTAGTTCTAATTTATTTCTTTTCTTTTTTTAAAATAGAATTTAATAGCTTTAAAAATAATTTTCAAACATTTTTTGAAAGATTTGAATTAGTTTTATGTCAAAATAGCATGAATTGTGTATCTCCTGAATGTGTTGTTCACGATTCCTCTCGCTAGGAGCGCTAGTATGCTGTTGCGAAGCCTTGTTTTATGTATAGCCTTTCGGAGATCAACAGGAGTTTTCAAATTACAACTATATGATCTTTATTGTCCATCTTTGCACACCAGTTTACTTGATAGAATTTACAAAGTATGTTACTTATACTTTGCCTCACAAACAATTTCGTAGAAAGATACAGGACAACACAGAGCTCGGGCTCGGGAGAATGTGCCAACCCAAACTGTTCCAGAATCAACTCAGATAAAACGCATCAGTCCTTTGAGAATCGCTGCTAGACGGCAAAGAGAACTCATGGCAGTTATTACCAGAAGAGAAAAGGCACATTCAGAGGATGTTGAGTGGCTACATGAGGATGAAGTTGATCTGTCTGCAATTATCCTTCAAAAAACGATGATGGTGAAAGATTTTTGCCAATCGTAACTATGGATGAACACTTCACTTCACCATGGATGGATGATGTCCAGTGAATATTTTTTGAATTAAACATAATTCACAGGGCCATAATAAAAAGATTCAATATAGCAAAAGAGTTTATCACATAATTTGTCCATATAGTCTTTTTTTAGTCAAATTGTTTTGTTTCCTTTTTATTATTTAATCACTGGGTTAGGTCAAGTTTTGCTAATCCACTTCTTATCATGTGTAAAAAGATTGCATAATCGGAAATTATCTAAAACTTGACCTCACCTTTTGTAAATGAAAAGCAGCAGACAAATGATGTGTATTATATAATTGTCTAGTCTAATTTTTGTTTTCAAATTCAATCTAGATTGAGTAAATGCTTCAATGAATAACTGTGACAACTGTTGACAATTAACTGTTCTACTATTAAAGTAATTTTAATAATGTGATAGTTGTTTTAAGTGGAAATTGTATATTTTAATACAAGTTAATAGTGAAGTGTGTTTTAGATTAAGTTTTAATTTGGTGTTAATTTTTTTTTTTTTTAAATTTGTTCGAAAGTGTGACGTAATTGGGGGGGGGGGGGGTTCCGGGGTTTGTGAAAGTTTGTGACGGGGGGGGGGGAGGTAAAAAGGGTAAAAAAGGGGGGGGGTTCCGAGATTTGGGACAGTTTGTGACAGGGGGAGGGGAGTTAAAAATGGTCAAAAATACTGTACGGACGGCCCTTATGCTAGTACGGGAGGTTAAGGTAAATGGGAATTGTTCTATGTTATAACCAGACACCCTTTCTTGTATTGGAAAAGATTTAATAAGTTTAAAACTTGGGTTTCAATCATTATAATTCAATAAAATTATTTTATTACTAGAAATAACACCCCTAACAAAGGCGAGGAAAATGCGCTCAATTTATATCTGCTCAAGTTACTAGACCAAACATTTATTTAAGTAATGCACTTTATAAAAATCCCAATTAGTGCTAACTTCTGAGAATTTTATTTTGCGCGTCCATTGAACACAGCGTTACAGCCACCCATACAAACCTAGAGAATTTTCATTTGTGATACGTACACAGATAATAATATTTCAGAATGCAAAAAAAGACCTTTGAAAAATTTATTAAGCTCCTATACAGCTCAACGCAGAAAAGCGTTTTTCAGATTTTACATTTACTTCTAGTGGTACATTTATTTCATTATTTGGTTTAACGATTATGTAAAAAAAGTACAATGCATAATATCTCCAGGACATTAAGAACCAGCAATTTTCTTTATTTAAACAGTTGATTTTTTGAAGGACTCGGATGTCAATTGGTACACAAATAAAAATCATTGAATATTTACTTAGTTTAGGGTGCATTTAATACACTTGATAATAACACATTTCATAGCTATTTTCCCCCCTCAAACCCCAGATGAGAGTTGCAAGAGTTCAAGTTTGTGTCGTACCAATCACTAGATGTCGTACCAATCACTAGATGTCGTACCAATCTCTAGATGTCGTACCAATCACTAGATGTCGTACCAATCACTAGATGTCGTACCAATCTCTATATGTCGTACCAATCACTAGATGTCGTATCAATCACTAGATGTCGTACCAATCACTAGATGTCGTACCAATCATTAGATGTCATACCAATCACTAGATGTCTTACCAATCAATAGAACGTCTTCTCTATTCACGACATTTTCACTAGTGAAATGGTTAAGGAGCACGATCAGCTTCAGAAGTGAGACTGTTATCGAAAGGAATTATTTAAATTCAGATCCTGGGGCTACGTGCAGTTTTCTTTAACGCAATACAGATTTAAACTCTCTCATTGTTGCAATAACGAGCTCTAGTTAGACGGTTTTTATATGTGTCTTGTTTTCAGCTTAGTTGGTACGGTTATGAAAGATTTATTACCAACAGACTAGAGAAAAGCAAGAAGATTAAATAGACACAAATCGTCCGTGCACTCGACATGTATGGTGAAGCTTTTGGGAAGGAAATAAAAAATACAAGACTAAGAGTCTCGGATTCAACCCTTTAAACAACAAAACTTAATTAAATTAAATGCAACATCTAGCAATAGGGAAGAAGAAGTTACTAAGTTACGCATGCGCGGAGTGTTATATTGTTATTTATGCATTTCTACTTAGCTTAGAGAAACACTAATAGTTTCGTTATATATAATATATATGCATAGCCTACTTTAAAAAGTAACATCTAACTTCATTCGAATTAATTTTGCATTTTAAAATATACATTTTTTAATGTGATTATTTCATATTCATAGAGGAAACCAACTATTTAAAAAAAAATAAACTTTATTCTAAACGTTCCCCAACAATTTATAAAGCATACTATTATTAACTAAACTGGCGTCAAATGTTGTTAAGTCTTTAAAATAGAGGTTCATTATTCTTCGACATGTCAACCGGAACACCTGAAAATGACTTGACGGCTTGGTATTATCAGCACACTAATACGCATTCGATCAACCTGACAATACATTTATTTATTTTGAAATGATGCCACACCTTGACTTAGAACTTTCTACTGACATAACTGAAAATGCCTCACCATTTATAGAAGATAAGGGGCTTTGCGGGCGATTTCTAGTGTATTTTAGTTCAAGCGAAAGATTTTCACACGCTGCTTAAAATAATTGATAAAAGAAAACTTAACTGGCGTTAGACGTGGGGTAAAGAGTGCAGTGTCGTAAGAGAATGGTGCTCGAAGCAAATCAGCAGAAGTGGTCTCTTTAACACATAGTGCATAGAGTACATAGTTTATATATTGTTAAATAATGTTAGGACTTTATGTAGACCCCAAAGTGCCACCCGGGGCTGTGTTCCCTTCACACTGATAGTTACGCCACTCTGGAGAGGAAACGTTTCGACTGCTTTAAAGGGGCCTCAGCAGGTTTTCATCCGGCACTTGGTGCAAGGGCAGATTTCAGGTTTTTTTTTAGGAAGTGTGAGTGAGCAGCAGCTACGAGAAAACCACAGGGAAGCAGTGTTCTAGCTAGATGATAAAGACAAGGGCATAAAAGGGTGCACAAACTGCAAGGAATATGAAGAAAAATATTCTGTCTAGCAAAGCGGCTGACAATTTCATCCCATAGATTTGTTTGAAAGTCACCGAGCGTGACGAAATGGGGGCTCGATACACAATACTTTCAGAAACCCCTGATAAAATGCCATTTTGTTCTCCAGCATCAGTTATATTTTTAGCTAATTGCTTTTCGTTGTCTGTACTGCCTGACTCCGGGATGTCTCCAGATTTTTCTACACGGTGCCGTGGGTTCGCTTGGCACATCTGATGCGCCGCGTCTGTGGCAACTTCCTCGTGGTATCTGCGCATGACCAATACTGTGGCAATGATAGCGACAACACCTTCCATGATAATGAAGATCAGAAATAATGTCATGCGGTGCAGGTGTTCTCCTTGGTTCATGTTCCTCGGGAAAGTGTCCCTACGGATGAATAGTAGAATTCGTTTATGAGATGAATTAAGCATATGGTATGTGGATTTTTTGCACTAAGCTTTATGGGTTTTGCAACTTTTCATTGTGAAATATCCCATTTTACTGGACATTTTTAATATTATGTCCAAAAATTAACTTGCAAAAACTAAACAACAAAAGTGTAAATGTACAAGGTAAATCTAATATCAAAATGTCTACTCTGACTTAATCCTTCTGAAAAAAACATTGAAATGTCAAGGGTGCTTCCATATTTCCTACTTGGATAGTCACTGGTCTGATAGGTGACTGATCTGATAGTTGACTGGTCTGATAGGTGACTGGTCTGATAGTTGACTGGTCTGATAGTTGACTGGTCTGATAGGTGAATGGTCTGATAGGTGACTGATCTGATAGGTGACTGATCTGATAGGTGACTGGTCTGATAGGTGACTGGTCTGATAGGTGACTAATCTGATAGGTGACTGATCTGATAGGTGACTGGTCTGATAGGTGACTGGTCTGATAGTTGAATGGTCTGATAGGTGACTGGTCTGATAGGTGACTGATCTGATAGGTGACTGATCTGATAGGTGACTGGTCTGATAGGTGACTGATCTGATAGGTGACTGATCTGATAGGTGACTGGTCTGATAGGTGACTGGTCTGATAGGTGACTGGTCTGATAGGTGACTGATCTGATAGGTGACTGGTATGATAGGTGACTGGTCTGATAGGTGACTGGTCTGATAGGTGACTTGTCTGATAGGTGACTGGTCTGATAGGTGACTGATCTGATAGGTGACTGGTCTGATAGGTGACTGGTCTGATAGGTGACTTGTCTGATAGGTGACTTGTCTGATAGGTGACTTGACTCGTACTTAACATCGTGGACAAAAGGACTAAACCAGCAGCTGCCTCCTTTGGTCAACCAAAGAAGTTCTACAACATCCTTCAGAACATCATTAAGTCTCAGTGGCGACTTCCTTGAGTCACAGACACTATGGTATGTATTTGCCTCCTTATAAATGGGATTTTGACCCCTAACCCCTTCCCCTTTTCACACCTTTTTTTTCTAAAGAGAAGCTAGTCAATAAACCTTTATTAAAATAATAAAGGTAGACAGCGTCGGTGACAGCAAAGGTCTCAAGAACGCATCCTACAAAAATAAACCAAATTCTTTAAATCATAATAATCTCTCCTCTAAATAAGTGAGTTTTTTTTTTTAAATAGTATAATACATGCCCCCGATCACTAGCGGACGCAAGACTTACCCAACGATACTCAAGTACAGTGTGGACGACATGTAGATGGTCACCAAGTACGAGATCTTCTCCCCGGAGCCAGGTGGAATCCAAAACACCATCAGAGTCAGCAACGAGGTCATGACCATCGGCAACAGCACGCAGAGAATGTAGTACAGCTCGGACCTCTTGATTCGGACGATGACTTTAAAATACGAAACGTCCGCAGCCGAGAAGTTACCGCTCAGTGTTACATTGGTCAGCGTCCATTCCCCTTGCACTCTGTCCAGGGGCTCCTTGGAGAGCGGGGACCTTTCCATTCTGGTGGCGTTGGTGGACACGTTGACGTCACATCCGTAGACGATGATAGGTATCTCGCACGTCTGGCTGTCAAGGGGGTAATAGGTCAGGTCAAAGCTGCAAAATGTTGTGGTGAATGACGTCAGTCTGTAGTTGATGGCCCCAGTATTTTCTAAGATGACGTAATCAGGGTCAGCAAGTCGCTGGGGACTATCATCAGTAGAGGACACCACGTACATTAACGGAAGCCATACCCTGTGATGTGGAATGATATATATATACATATATATATATATATATATATATATATATATAGTGGTGGGATTAATGCACATAAAGGACAGATCATGTCGACTGAATGATGAATGAATGTTTTAATAATATAGTCTCAGATCTCAAATGCATAGATCTTACTAGCATGCTAACAACACACTGAACCTTTTTGCTTGCCTGTTGAACGCGGAATTACAGTCACACTCATATACCTAGAGAATAATTATTTGTGACAATGACGCGGTGGATGGGTCTTGCTAATTGATAACAAATTTCGTACATTTTGACGTTTACAAAACTTTGTAGTGACATAATGAAATGTATTAGATCCAGCGGCGTCACTATGTGGGTTTGAACCACACCTGGTGACATGCACACAATCGACTGACGCCCCTGGGTAGTGCTATAGTGACGTAAAATGTGCCTTAGATTAAGCTAAGTAATTTTATCCCATGGAAAAGCTCAGTGATTCTGATGTATCGAAAAGGTAAAGAGCATTTCATTTACAAGTTTTCAGTCATTAAAATATGCTGTCACATACATCATGCCCCAGCCTAGACACGCATGCTGGCCCGGTAGAAGCACATTAGATCACCGACTGAAGCAACTATCTTCTGCCCGCGGTGCCAGAGATTATTCCTATCACGGATCGGACTAGCAAGCCACCTAAGAACTCGTCGTAACCCCCCCCCCCAAACCGGGATGACTAAATGGTCCTAGTCGATGTTGAGGGACGAACAACAGTTACGTAGTTAAATAACCTGTCATTAACATATTGTTACTGTTAATATTATGCCATTAATATATTGTCACTGAGGTAAATATTCTGTCACTTAAATGTTGTCACACAGGTAAATCTTCGGTTACGTATATGTTATGGCCCAGGTAAACATTATGTCAATGAAATGTTGTCACTCAGGTAATTATTATATCACTTACATGTTGCCAGGGAGGCGGACCTGAGTTATATTCCCATACTGCCCAACATCCCATGCCAGGCAAGGATCCCTCAGACTGACTTGCACGAAGAAACTAGTTTCAATTGTTTGTTTAGCCTCTGACACAGCCGCTATCTGGAAGATAATCAATGACAGTAAGGCGAGGAACTCTTAGACTGGCTCAGCCGCTATCTGGAAGATAAACAATGTCAGGAAGACGAAGGTCTTTTAGACTGGCACAGCTTGAACCTAGCTCCGCCCCTCCACGTGCCAACCTAACCCAGTGGACTTACTCCTCCTCTTTTCTTTCGCTCTTCCCTATTTAATCTCTCACTCATTTACTTTCCCTTTGTTGACCTTTTAGTGGAGACGCGAAGAATTAGTTTATGCTTTAGGGAATTTTCCGGCTTGGAGTGGGGCGTTAATAATTTCACCTTTTGTCGGCTAAAAATATGTGTTCCCTTCAGTAAATATCGGAATAAAGTTCATCATTTGCTCAATGTAAAAAAATTGGTCACAGTGATTTTTCCGCATAAGTTGCCTCTTTGACTTGAACCCCCATCCGTCCCAAACTTACAGCATTATTCAGGATCATCCCAATGGACTACAATCAGGCTCAACAAACTCGTCCCTTCTGATAAGATTAATTATAGAAGAAGAGATTTTATGTTTTCAATCATGCGCTTCCAACTGAGTAGTCCTTTTAGGCCATAGATTATCACATATTATCTTAATGCGTTTTTCTTTATATCACCATACATTAATAAATTACAGCAAATATGAATTTAAGCAGCCTGGTCGCTTTTATATAATAGGCATGTTCCACCGTTGTAACAAAATTCCACAAATCCTAAGTCAAATAGAAACGGACAATAAAGAATAAATCATGCCGCTCACCTGAAGCAGAAAATAGCCAATGTCCACTTGAACTACAGCCCCGGGCGGTAGTGCTGTGAACCTGCTCTGAAAGACGGGGTGGCTGCCCAGATCTTCGTACAGCCTAGCCATGGCTTGCCTGTGACGGTCAAGCTCGTGGAGGAAAGCGGCGCCCAGCACTGACGAGAACTGAAGCACCAGCAACCACGGCATCATTGATTAGAGCTTCAGACGCCACCACGAATTACAGGATCGAACGCGTTCAGTTTATTGCATATTATTATTTTGTAGTGTAGTGGCTGAAACTTCTACTTGGAATCTATTCGGGTTCTCGCTCCCTGCACTTGCTCTTACAGCTAAACATTTACAAATATGAAGTGTTTTTTTTTTTGTGTTTTTTTTTAATAGGAAAGGTAATTTCAATATGACATTTTAAAACCAATACCAGCTCATCTAAAAAGTGTTTAAACATTAGCACACAAAAGAAGTGTTTAAGCATTAGCACACAAAAGAAGTGTTTAAACATCAGCAGAATTAATGCAACAAGTGGATTTGTCCATTTACTAAAGTGATGGATACAATGAAACGCCGACTTTAACAAATACAACATGATATGTGTTTGTTGATTTAAAATTTAAATCCTGCCACACTGGTCGCCATGGCAACAAACAGCAAACACTTGAAAAAAAACAAAACGAAGGGGGCAGCTCTCTGAGTTCAATGTCAACATCGACATCGGGACTTGGTAATATCCAACTGGTAGAAAATAAATGTAATGTGGACTAATGCGGTCTTTGTTAGCATGGGATTTTTTTATTTTTTTTTTTTGGGGGG